ACTGTGAACGAAACCGAACCTCGAACTCATATATAACCGGTAAAAAATGAAGAAATCAATTTTAATTTATAATTGATAAAACTATGGCAAAGTATGGACAAATTCCATTATTTACGTTGAAACACTTGAAAAAGGAGTAAGACCAGTTATTATTGTAACACTTTGGCAAAAATGAAGAAATCGATTGTTTACGAGTAGACATTTGACAATGCACAAGGAGAGACTGTGGCAAAAAATGGAGAAATCAATCATTTACATCGAGGCCCTTGAAAACCATAGGGAGCACACAAGCTCCCAAGGAGATCAGGATAACAATAATAAACCTGTCCATAGCCTCCAACCCTCATTTGTCGCCTCTCTTCTTTTCTGGGATCGTAGTGTATTTGAGGGGTTAGGCGTTCAATCCTGGTGACCAAATCCCCTTTTTCAAAAAATTATAAAATAAGGAAAATAAATGTGAATTCGGTACATTGTTGGATGGTTTTCCCCCATTAAATCATCTTCAAAAGTACAACGCCATAGATTGGAAAGCAATCGTTATTAACAATAAAACAACCGTTAACATTTCGTAAGGTCTTTTTATTTACAATTACTTCCCTTTCTCAGTAATAACAAATTATTCTTTAACCCTTTTTTCTAGTGTGTTGATTATGACATTTTCAAAGTACTTTCTTTGTATATACGCAATGGACAATTATGTTTAGAAACAATTGTTTTAACAACTCGATCTGTATGTGCGAGGCCAAATTTCAGATATTCCGTTGTCATTTTTTCTGCGTGTCAACGGATACACGCTGTTTCCCAGCAACTTTTTACATTTTGTGAGTGCGCTTCAGATTACATAATAACCTATTTAACTTATTGAAGGTCAGTGTCTGTCACGTTGTGGCCGTAATCAAAATAATGACGGATTCCATATACAGTACAGCATCAGATAGCAGGGCCTGGGCTGATAAGCCTTGACACGAGTGCAGTTAATTAAAATACAGGTAAAGTTCAGGACAAATTAGATAATTTCCTTATTTTGAGGATGCGACAAATAAATCAGAACTTAAGAGTTAAGATTCCTGACTGTCCAAGCCTAAGGCTAGCTGAGGGTTTGGCATTCAAGAATCTTACCCCAGGTGGTTGAAATACCCTTGTTTTACACTCACAATATGGAATTGCTATTTTCCGCCTTTCCCTCAAAACCCTTTTTTTTTAAATTTATATTAAGAATCTACAAGCAAGGCTAACGTTCGATCTTATATGAACAAGAATTACGCGTAATTATATGTGTCGCCTGTCCCGCTTTGTCAATATAATAAGCATTTGACATAGTACTTAGGATATATTTAAAGAGAATTGAAATTGAAGGTCATATCCCAATGTGATAACCTAATAGGTAATAGGTTGTGAGAAAGGCAGACATTATTGAATTGTATATGCAGCTTGCATTATAACCACACCTGTAATTAAAACGCAAAAAGTGTCATTAGTCAGACGTGATCTGAAAGTGGATACAAAATAAAATGTAATTATGTCATTATTGTGTATTAGTAACATGTGATATTATTGATATGGAATTTGGTCAAGGAAGCGGGTAACAAAAATGTATATATCTTACATGTGATATAAAACTGCACCTTCTGGTCACCTAAAAAAAAGTTTGTACAAAAATATTCACAATTGAAATTTACAATAAATACATTATATAACATCTTCTTCCTCTTCCTCATCAGTTGAATCCTGCGTGAAGAGTTCCTCAGTTGACTTCTAGTAATAAAGAAGAAGAATTAAAAGAAATTAAAAATAAATAAATGAATCCAAAGTCTGTAGAAATTAAGTAATAAATGTATAAAAAGCTTAGGTCTTTGTGTTAAAAAATAAATAAATAAATAATTGTAGAATACGTTTGAGTCAACAAATGTGAGGGTTTTCCACCCAAAGTGGGGGAAATCCATGAAATGTTAGGAAAGAGTGTAGTGCATTTAGCTATGATACACCTACAGTGTATGACCCAAGTACATAAGGAAACGGACCTAAACGCGAAATCATAACATTGATTTTTTTTTTAAATTCCAGAAATTTCAGATCCTCAACGTTGAGTTTTTTTCTAAGTCCAGAAATTTGAGGTTTTTACCAAAAAAATGCAGAAATCAATGAAATGTTTTTAGTGCAGTAGGCTCCACTGCCCATGCTACATCTATGATCGAGGTTTTGTTGGTGTAGCTTTGTCAGAAACAGAGCTTAACGCAAAACCTTAACATTGTTGACGCCGCCGTCGCCGTCGGAAAAGCAGCGCCTATGTGTCTTTCCGACATCCGTCGTAGGCGACACAAAAACAATGCAGAAAATATTCACCTGCATTAAATCATCTTACTCTTCTTTGGGACATAAGATTTCTACAAGAAAAACTTCTGCTGCCTTTTTGGTAGTCTTTGATGGGAGATTGTGTGCACACAGATCATACTTGCTCTTATTTTTTCGACTTCTGTTCTGGCAGTGATGATGATTTTTCTCTATTTTCATATTCATCTTGACTGTTTCTTCAGAGCTGGTTGCCTTTTACTGTTTGTGACAGCTGACAACCTATTTATCGCCATTTCCGCTGAAGTTAATATACTAAAGATTCGACAATAGGGTTCATTTAGTGTCCATATTTGTCGGTGTCGTCCGCAAAAAGTACAAGACATGGTAAAACGTTTACTTCGTCCTTCTCTAAGGTGGTTGTAGCCGATGACATGGAAATCACAGAAGTGCCTCGATGGTGTGAAGCAGTTCTTTAATCTGTAGTGGTGTATGATCAATGCACAATTCCTTTCAGGATGGCAGATTGTTCTACAACTGTCATTTCGCTACTTAGAGGTAAAACACGTGACTTTGATTTCCTGAGTTGATTCCTTCACTCATTAGTCACATGACGTAGCGTTGTCAACGAGAACCTGTTCCAAGAAACCAACATTTTATGATAATTTGATATTTAATATATTAAATTATAGTTTGCATACAACGATGTAGCCAGCTCCTCTTTTGTTTTAGTCGTTATAATAATATAAGTTGTTTTGTATAGTTATATCAAACTCATGACGTTTCTCTATTCAGTCATAAATATGACATGGGCTGTTTGGGTTATATATATGTTAATGAAGGTATGGTAATTAGTAGACGAGAATTGACCAATCGCAGAGCAGTATATTGTCCCCTATAGGGGCCTCTTAATTGGTTTTTAAGTGGACCGGAACAAGGACGTAAAGCCCCATCAATCAATCAATCAATCAATCTTAATTGGTAGCAGCCCCCTTCCTCCGGGGAGGCTGCAGAGAACCACGGTTGTCGATGTGTACCCACCCACCATCCCCAGCTACATGCCAAGCTTCATATATGCATAAGTCTGCCAATTGTAATGTAGTACTTATCGTTTGTTGTTTCCCTGTATTACGCAGCTGTTCCTTTTCTCATGTTTGTATCTTTGTGCAATGTCTTTTTTGTTACATGTACCATTTATACTTGCCTTCGACAGGCACTATTGCTCTATTTTAGGTTGTTTGGGCTACTCATTTCAGGTAGGTTATCATATTTCTCGCTTCAGTGGCTTTAAATTCTAGGAATTCACCCCCAATCTCAACAAAGTTTTATATTAGTGTGGGGATGCGGCTTCTCTTGTATCACAGGAGTCTATCTGCTCTCATCATGGCTTCTCTAGGGGTGTTCACAACAAGAGTCTAGTCGCTTCTCTGGAGACATTTTCAGAGTCTAGCTGCTCACTTCTCTGGGCTGTGTAAGTGCTTCTCTGAAGACATTTTCAGAGTCTATAACCAGAGTCTAGTCGCTTCTCTGGAGACATTTTCAGAGTCTAGCTGCTCACTTCTCTGGGCTGGGTAAGTGCTTCTCTGAAGACATTTTCAGAGTCTAGCTCCTTCTCTCAATACCCCCGGAGTCTAGCGTATCAAATATATGGTAGTAAAATTGTTGGAGTGAGTAGCCCCTGATGCGCCAAATGTATTACTGTATGTAAATATGTTGTTAACAAGAGTAATAAACAGGTTAACTGTTTCTTGTGTGTTAGTTGTATATAAACTGGACATGTGCGTCTCGTGAATCAGCGACTTTTCCCTGGTGATATCGTGTTGTGCTGTACATGTTTAACCTTATGCAGATTATTTGTTTGGGGTTCATGACGCATTTCCTTTTGTGTAGTGTTGTATGACTTTGCATTGTTTTTTTCACTCTATGTTTATTTTGCTTCCCTTTGTATTAGCCTGAGTTTCCTGTGATTCTGGCACCAGGCTGAGACATTCTGATAGATAGACATCTGGTGTGGGGCCAGAGTGAGACATTCTGATAAATATACATCTGGTGTGGGGCCAGAGTGAGACATTCTGATAGAAATACATCTGGTGTGGGGCCAGAGTGAGACATTCTGATAGCTATACATCTGGTGTGGGGCCAGAGTGAGACATTATGATAGATATACATCTGGTGTGGGGCCAGAGTGAGACATTATGATAGATATACATCTGGTGTGGGGCCAGAGTGAGACATTATGATAGATATACATCTGGTGTGGGGCCAGAGTGGGACATTCTGATAGATAGACATCCGGTGTGGGGCCAGAGTGAGACATTCTGATAGATACACATCTGGTGTGGGGCCAGAGTGAGACATTCTGATAAATATACATCTGGTGTGGGGCCAGAGTGAGACATTATGATAGATATACATCTGGTGTGGGGCCAGAGTGAGACATTATGATAGATATACATCTGGTGTGGGGCCAGAGTGAGACATTCTGATAGATATACATCTGGTGTGGGGCCAGAGTGCACTACCATATGAACCATATGAAAAATCAAATTAAATCCAACATAAAAATAATCAGTTTTTCCAAGATTCTCATTTGTAATAAGACAAATCCATATATCTTGATTTAATAATAAGCTTTGTCTATCTATCTGATTTCAAAGAGAAAAAACTTAACAGAAATCAAACAAATTTCCAATAAAGACATTAAGTCAATGTACTGAAATGTGAACTTTATTTGTCCTCAGTACATGATTAAGTGACATAGATTGCTTTCTAACAGTTTTATCCCACCGTGCCCGACTCTGTGGGAAGTAACAAATACAAATGGACACATGTCCACATACAAAACATGGCTGTCACTGACTGGCCGACAGGGGACACAATCCTACCCTTCCATCATGGATCATAAACATATCTCGTGAACATGCAAGAGTATACAATATTAAAAGAAATGCATTGGGTAGTTCAAACCAATCTTGAGAATATGTGTAACCACAAGGGCATGTGTCAAATTTATTTCCTTTGTAAAACCTGCGAAAAAACAATAGTTGAACAAAAGACATTCAAATTATATTCAATATATATATACAGTAGTTCATGAGACAAAAACAATTTCATTTTTTGTCTATATTGTAGATTTTTTTTACATCCAGTAAGTTAAAATTGAATTCATCAAAAACCAGCTTCCTAATTTTGTTGTAAACTTTCATTGCCAAGTCAAGGAAATTATATATTACAAGCAAACATAACTGTAGTACCATGTTGCAAAAGCAGCAAGGAAACAACTCAACTAATAAGATGGTGCAAGCTGAGCTCCAAGAAAATTGGTGGTACAGACATAAGTTACTCATTTATCAAGTAAAGTTCTAACTATGTGATTTAACCAAATATCACCCAACATTGTAGTTGTTCCCTGTCGGACCTATCAAAAATAGCACTGATAACTCAAGCCAGACTTGAATGATCACAGATATCAGAAAAAACAGCCACCTTCCACAAACAGCACATCATGGATTTACAATGTTTAGTTTAAAACCTCAACTGGTTGCAAGTGACAAGTGAATACTAGCATCCAGAGTTGCCTCCCTCTTTGTTATTGCTACAAATTCAGCATTTTACCAAAAATATTAATGATGTTTACATTTGAAAAAGGATTTTACTATCGTACAGCGATACCAATTGACCTTCCAAAAAATATAAAAGCTTGAAATGTTCTAAAACCTGTAACATATACCTATGACTGGTAATGTTTTGCTTAACTGACAATGTGTTAAAGTCTCAAAAAAAGGTATGCAACGATAACACTGTAGTAGGACAATTACTCAATGAGTGAACCGAGATGGATCAAACGCAATCACAGGTATAATATATCGGGTGGCAAAACTGATTAAAACACAAAGAGGAGCATGCAGCAGTGTTGGTTTGATCTATGTGCTGTATTAGGGGATGGCTGGCTCTGTATATATCACACATTCAAAATAAATAGTTCTTGTAAACATAAAGAAACATTTAACCACAGTAAGGACGTAAAACTTTTAAATACTTCACATTTATAATCACCAAAAAAATTTCTATACCCAACCTTGCCAATGGTTGCCAACATACATAGCATGCTAAATGGGAAAATTCACAGAATTATTAAAATTTAGCGACTACATAGCATTATCAAACATACAAAGAAATAAACAAGACAATTAAAACTGATCAAAGACAAATATGATTACAGAGAAACCATCAGTTAGAAATGATAAAACAAATCCTATAAACAGCAAGGGGGATGGGGCCACACTCACACCTAATTAGTAAAATAAGCACTCTATCCTTGTGTCCAATCTCTCAACATTTTTGCGGAAATGTCTGCCACTCAATCATTAGAAAATGACAGTGTTATAGCTGATATTTGTACCATTTTCATCAAACTCTGTAACTGCATGCAACAGAATTTTACTAAATTAATATGAAAAGACTAAAGCACACGATCAAAGGTTTGAGTACTGTAATATAATTAAATTCACATGTATCCATACAACAAAATGACAATTTAAATCATACATTTCAACATTGTATAAACATTATACAATTGTAATTAGCACTTGCATACTGTTAAACAGGATATATTTTGACAAATAATCAGAATTCATCAGCTTTCACCGACTGTTTGGCAATAAATACAAAATAAATTTGGAAATAATCAAAATAACTTAAGATATAACAATGACTTTGTAAAGTCACCATATATCAGATTCTATTTCTATCTCACTTTGTGGATTATTATCAACAGATCCGTCAAAAATTGAAGAGCCAGAACTTAGGAAAGCTTTAAAAACGACTATGTGTTGGGTGCCTAGTCTAACAAGTAGTAAATGTAGTCAGTGTAGGATATACAATATAAACCTGCACTGCAGGAAAATGTCTGATCGAGTGGAACTTTGTTATTCCCGTGTCATATACACTCATCTTGAACCGCTCGTATTCTACATAGGTGGTTATATTTTTTTAAATGTTAAGATTTGAAATGTGTACATCACATATATCTTTGATAGGTGCGGTGCTATTTTCACAGTAATATAAAACAAGTACAAATTCCAGCAGTGTTCAAGTTAAGGTTCTGAGATTGTTTGGGATGTAGTGTTATTTCATTGGAAATGTTTTATGTTTATAAGTTGTGTGATACTACTTTAATGAACTATTTTGAGATACGTGTAGTTGGGTATGTAGTACTTTACTAGAAATGTTGAATTACGAATATTGGAAATATATAGAGCATATGGAAATATACCTTTCTCTCTCTTTATGTAGAGTGACAGTGCTAATCTATATCTAATCATCACAATATTTCTCTCTGAATGCTAATTTTAATATCCAAAATAGCAGAATGATCATGTACAGGCTAACAATTTGGGATGCCTTTATATGCTGACTTAAAAGGCTCAATCCATCGTCGGATACCCACGGTTGATTTCGCTTCGGTACTCACTCATCACCATGATCAGACGATGGGCTCAATCAACCCTCTACTCTTGTTATGAAGACTTTTTATCCTAACATTCACATAAACACAGTCACGAAACACACAAACCTATTTCATTGCTGCTCTGAGACACAGCGAAGAAACAGGTAGTTATTTCGTCTATACACAGTCAATAAACACAAAAATATTTCACCCTTTCACCAACAGACAGAGTCAGAAACAGACGAAGTGAATTCATTCTCACACAGATACAGTCTGAAGCATGCATAAGTATAAATGCAGATACAGGTTGTTGTAAATCTCTTCAGCTGATGATAAACTTGAAGAATGTATTTACATAGCAGTGGTAAACTAACATTACTACATACATAAACCTGTTACAGAACAAACGGTCAAAAGTATTCCAGTTTTACATTACCCAAACCTTTTTTTTGCGGAAAAAAAGATAATATCATTTATGTATGGAAAATATATACATATCAACTTTATTATTCTTGAGAAAATTACCAGATTAAACAAATTCCAGACAAACAAAACAGGATTTTTGCAGATCATTTATATTTCTTTAATAATTTTATAGATTGTATACTTTGCAAATGACCCTTAATGGGATACATGTGTTTATTAGGTTTGGGGTAACACTAAATATTGTCAGATTCAACTATATGATTACGGTTTGTGTCTATGAAAATAAAAAAATTGCCACAAGCGCTTGAATCAAAGAAAAACGGTTGAACAAGGTTCAACTGTAACAGATTAATATTTTGCACAGGCTCACGTTTTGCCCAATCAGAAGACTTGAAAATACAAAAAAAATCTTAAACAACTCCAACTTGTGTGACTTTATATTATTAATGATGTCCTTTTTGTTATGACTCTCCTTGTAATGTTAACTTTTCATTCTTGCTGGGGTAGGGGTGGGGGCAGGGTTAACAGATATATAGCAATCAGCATTGTACAAAACATGCTGTATTTAATGAAAAACTTCAGGACCCAATATAATCTTCCAAAGAATTAACTGAAAAACAAATTACTATTAGAGAAAAAATCCTCATTTTCAAGAGTGTTTATAAATATACAGACTTACCTCCCTTTGATTGAGTACATCGTAACAACAATGGCAGCAATGTCAAAGAAACTAACATTGCAAAGAAATTCACATCCAAATTTTCAATTAAAATTTAGAACACTCAACGAGTCTGGTACAAAAACAGGTATTCATCAGCAGTTATAGCGTCTATTAATTTTCATCCACACTTCCCAGCTTTAAAACTGAAAACTTGATAGGTACATATGCTAAAAAAACACCTTTATATTGTAGTTGGGATGTCTGAGAAATTCTCAACAAGACATATAACTAATAAAGTATAGTTTGAACCAATTTGTTTCAAGATACAGTTGTAGTTTCTGAATTTAATATTTCATCCTTTTACTGTGACAGGATGCCTAGGGGCCTGAATAGCTCTACTGCTCTTAGTAGATTCAAATGAATACAAAATATCTATAAGAGAAAAATGGTATAAGTTGAGAAAAATCATAGTTATAAATATTGTAGTAATAAAGTCTTTAAAACATTACCTTTATTCCTCTATTAGGACTAAAATCCTATGATCACCATTACCATGTTAATGGGTGTAGTCTATTTTCACTTTTATGTGTTATGTCCAGTCTTGTGTCGGACTACAGAGCCCTTTTGAACTTAATATGTTCTATACAAGATCCCTTCACATGTACCGAAGTAGAAGGAGTTTTACGGGTTTACCCATTTTCCCCCCAACTGGACCCTGTCCATTTTCACCAGGGGGACCACACCTGTTGTTAAAATGAATTTATGTCCTATAGTCTTGGGTTGAGGATGTTAAGACTCCACACTAAATTTAGTTTAAATCCATTGAGCTATTCTTGACTAGTAGTCTTTTAAATGAGAAGATCACAAAACGCTTTACCACGGCATAAGCTCATTTAAGGTCAGGTGAGCTAAAAAACGGATTTGTGTGTTTGAGACAACATCCAAACTGTTCACTGATATTTGCACTCAATAAATCTATGACTGGATATGTGCATACAGAATGAAAATGCAAAACAGATATATTTTTCACAATTCAAAATGTATAAACGGAGTGGTTTACCTGCTACCTTAGCCACAATTTCTTTTTACAAATATTAGGTGTGGTGTTCTCACTTGAACCTTCTCTGAAGAGATATTTTACAAAATGGAGAGCATCAACATCAAATCTTTTCGAAAATTCTAACTGGAGTTTGAGTGTTTCTTTTTCAAAAATATGTTTTTTAAAACTGTTTGCTAAAAAAAGGGATAAATGAAATCTGATCATATACATTGGACATCAACTAAACAAATGAAATAATTGACTAATCCTAACAAGTCCTTGGGGTATATGTTAGCTGTTGGGCCCCTGGTAACTTGAAGGATTACTCATGAAAGTCAGACCACTGCCGCTGGGGCCGGACCATGATGGCGATGAAGATGTGGTGAGGAAGGTCGAGGAGGAAGAGGAGACTGAAGAGGAAGCAGCTGCATTTTTCTTCAACGAGTCGAAGTATTCTTGCTGGGACTGAGCCATCACTTGGGCTAGAATGTCATCCTCGTTCCACTCTGGGTAACCTACAATATCTCAGTCACATTAAAATTTGTCTTTTATATCAAAACTTAACTGGAATTCTTTTTCAATAACAGGGACAGTCTGCATCTGTGTCTTTTCCATTATTGAAACAAACTGAAGACATTTTTTCATCTAGTACACACCTGTGACCATAAATGTAGGTCAAGGTAATTTATTTGAAAACATTTAATATCCTTCTTCCCAAACAAACTCCAACTTACATTCAATAACTCAAGGCCTTATAGATCAATGGAATAGGTTGTTTCGAGGGGTGGCGGGGGGTGGAGAAATCTGTTGGATTGATGGACAATGAATGATTTGCCATCTAAATTATTGAGTACTCTGTCAAAACAATTTAACTATCTGATGGTTTGTAGAAACTTTTCTTGTTTCAATTATAACATTAGATAATTTTTCCATGCAAATCAGTGATTCATCGGTATTGTGAATTTGTGTGAATGAAATATTTTTATTTTTCCATGAAAACACTGCTGTTAAAAGCACATTACAGGTGCACATTAAATTTCCTTGATCTATTGAAAAAGTTTTTATTATAATTCAAACAATGGATATATTTTCAAAAATAATAATAATGAATCTGTCAACTTCATCAAAGTGACAGCAAGGTGGTACTACTACAAAATGTAATATGTTAAGAAGAAATGTACTTTTGCAGTTACATACCAAACATGTTAGATGGGTACTGGTTCATGAGTGAACTGGTTTCTTTAAAGTTGGGGTTCCCTCCCACAGCACCTTGTACAGGTCCAGCTGTGGCCCCTAATACAGAGTGATCACTCTGGGGCTGAGGAGATCCTGAAGAGGAGAATGAAGAACATGTTCACATAACCTCCTAGTACTACTCTGTATATAGATATACCTTAAAATAACACATTAAATAATTAATACAAATTTTAATATTTTGTTTTCCATTTTTGAGAGTATAGTCTTGTACATATGTAGTTTTAGCTTGCAGCCATGAGTACATGCTTACCTGCACCAGGGGTAGGCAGTGTAGGTTTTGGTGAGGCCTGGTCAAGCCCTTCAGGTCGCTGGGGACTGTTTTGTGCTGAATTGGGGTTACTTCTTGCCCGTGGTGAACGTCCAACTCTCAGCTCAGCAGGAGTATTCATATACATAGCATCAGAGGAAGAACTACATGTTGCACTCGCGGACTTGGGCTACAAAATATGTTGTCAAAACTATAGCACTTACAAAGTTAAAAGATAAATCACATTTATAGATAAACAGGTTATTTTACTTAGAGCTGGAAAAAAAATCATGGAATTAAATAATTCGATTTATAACTTTTCTTTATCACCGAAACAAATTTATAAATCCAATTGTCCTGTTTGCTTGATGTGACAGTATTGACTTACTGTGTCCTGTCTGCGTGCTTGAGTCTCATTGTCTCGGAGCCACTGTAGGTAGGACTCCCTGGCCACTTGCTCCTCTATGGTCTCCTGGGTCACCTCCCAGTCAGTCTCACGAAGCTTGTCCTCCAACATACACTGCAACACAAACACACTCAGTGAATCCTAGTTTTGGAAGCACATTTAAAGGCAAAATTAGTTTTGGAAGCACATTTAAAGGCAAAATAAAACAAAGTAGATAGAATCACACAAAGTTTTCCCTGCTTGACCATGATGAAAATGTGATATATGGCACGGTATGGATTTTCTAATATTCTTGCATGGTTCAGAAGTTACGGTCTGGAAAGATCTCGAGGGACAAATGGTATAACAATCAGAGAGAATGAAAAAAATATAGCTTTTATTTTACAAAGTCCTGGGGGNCAAATAGGTTTCCAGTGGGAGTGGGAGTTGGTCTACATGTTCTTGTTTTACATTTACAAGTGGCTGTTTTAGAAGATTTAAAAAGGTGTTCAACTCCCTTTTCAAGAGCACACCTTTCCCTGCCAGCATTCAATGAGAACATGATACCCAGCACAAAGACACTGTAGTCATTACTAACCAAGATCAATTCATATTGAAGTCTTGATAAACATTAATGTTTAAACAATAACTCACTTATACAAAAATTTGTAAGTGAGATTGATACGACTTTATCAGTACCTATAACAAATACATGTCTCAGTCACGTACATCCATTGATCCATTAAGTCGTAAATGGTTAGATATCGTGCCATTGAGAATGTTTACTAATGCATTTACAGTTGAAAATTTGATAAAATCTGATATCTGCTTCAGGCCGAGTACATGCTATGCTACAATGTACAGGAAGGGTTATTGAAAACTGACCAAACAATGAAACATCATGATTTTCTAGCATTGTTGTTCATTTTTATCATTTCTTCAAGCCATGATTATTTCAGCGTAGCCTCACGCGAGATGTTGAGGTTTAAATCAAAATTCATGGTCAATATTTTGTAAAAACCTGTTTGTATACCTGTGTACATGTAGGCAGTCATGTATAATGGAGATATCAGGTACCCAGTCACAGTCATCAATGAATGAGAATTCAGGTGTATCAGATTTACTGTATTACGTAAGAATTTAATTGTATCATTCTTACTTGAGATAAAAGCACAGCAAACTTAAGCAGTTTTATGTTTCTAATTTGTTGACCTCCTAAACTTATCATCAGAAATGACAAATACTGTATCTGAGTCTGTTTTTAACAGAAATACATATTGACAATGAAATTGATGATAATTAAAACCATGCAAAAAATGCATGCTTTACAAAACCAGATGAATCACATAAAATGCAGAGATAGTGATTGGCTAGATCTACTTTTATCCACATGACTAAATATGACTGTGCCTACCTTTTCTAAATGAAATTTTTCTGATTGTTTAACTGCATCCCCCATAAGATTCTTATCTGCCAGCTGCAAAACAGAAAAGATGAATTAAGGAAAATTTCATTAGAACATTCACAAATACAATATGTGCAGTAGACTCTCTATTTAATATCTAGTGTTATTTCAACCACAGTTGTTATTGTAAACCAAAGGCTAATTTAAGTATATATCTGATACTTAACATTACATGTATGATAATGTGTGCTCTCCCATGTGAACAGTATTTTTTATTTACATGTAAAACTACTTTTGTTATTTACAATGGGAGTTGACAAAGAACTGAAATCTTATAATTCAAACTTTTTTTTTTTTTATTGTGATGGAGTCAATGCTGTTGATACTAAACATCGTGTTTAACCCACATCATAATTGTAAGGGTACAACTGTCAGGTATTTTGTGAAGGGTGGAGTTATATAATAGAACTCACCCCTGGCTGGAAGCCTGGCAGTCCCAGACCCACCCCGATGGTGGCCTTGCATGGGTCCACACATGAGTTGTAGTGGGTGTTTTTGTGATAACTAATCCGGATTGGTTCATTCTCTGTTTTGTATGTACAGCTAAATGTATTGATTGGTTCTGCAAAGAAAAGAAAAACACATTATTAAAAGTGATATCGTTTATATCTATCTTCAAAATACATGGCGCATTAATCACACTTATGTTTCAATTCACTAATGTAAATTTATGTGGCATGATGTCCCAACAGGTTTTTATCTACTTATGCATTGAGGAAGAAACAAAATATCCAAATCATGATTATCCATTAACATTTATATTCATCCAACTGAGCTCATTCTCAAGCATACTCGCTGAAGCTCAAAGTTTATAATAGAGAAATAACTTGAATTTAAATATTCAAATGATGATCTAAAATCATCACCATTGGACACCTTATACATCAGCATCAAAAACCACACTTAGTAGTTCAATGTGTCATTTACTAATGTGCACATCATTTGACATGAGAATGATACTGTTCAATTAATTCTTATGAAAAAGGTTTAGGATGTTTTAAAACACAAATGTGTGTCTGCTATTCTCAAGACAAGAATGCTGAAGATTTTATCATCAATCTGCTGAGTTGCTTTCATGAATAATTTCTTAAGAGGAGACTACTTAGTATCCATATTATGAAAGGTAGGGCAACAACCATGATTTATATGAATTCAACTTGGTACTGAATTTAACTTTGAATATGGGTGGAGTATTAAATAACCTGAAGTCTTTTGTTTTGTTTGGGGGTTTAACGTCTTCCCAACATCTAATTCATATGAAGACAAGTGCCTTAATTCCTAACATCTAATTCATATGAAGACAAGTGCCTAAGCCGAGGGGACACCGCCTAAAAATAATAAAAGACAGAGGTCCCAATATTACAATGGGGGTATAGCCTAGATCAGCGACAGTTTCTTCCCCATGCAGATGACAGAAAGCATGTGAGAAAAGAATGCACATCACAGTTTTGGCAGGAAAAAGTAGCCAGGTTATTATTTAATTGAAAGATGTTACTTTCACCAGCCACAGGCTGAAATATATGACCTTACCTATACTATACTGGTAAACTTCAATGGGCCTATTGAAGACTTCTGATATAGCTTGCATTTCAACATGGTTTCCATGGCAATGGTCCATTTTCTTGCGGTTTAGATATGTGTTGAAATCTTCAGTGATATATTGTGAAAAATAATCTTCATTTTTGCCCTGAAATATAAAGTGATTCATATAATCAAAGATTTAACATTATATCTTAAAAAATCCAATATACACTTAAACAAGGTATGTATTTAGGAAATATTCTAAATTTTGTTGTTTCTCAGTAATTGCAATGTAGTTTATTTACTATTGAATTGCAGTGTAGCTCTTCATTCCTGAATCCCAGATCCAAATCTGTGCGGTAATTAGTCACATCATCCCAACTTCCCACTCGATAAACAGCAACATTCTACAGGCAGACAGGTATGTGCAATCGTTTAACAATTAATGGAGTCCTTTACACGCAATATCTCCAATTCATATTTTAGCTGAAAGAGCATCAGAATTGATAGAAAGTCTGCTAGTATTCTACATGCAAATTTATCGCAAAACAAAGAATAAAGTTATTTTTCATGATCTTACCATTTGTTTCATGATATATTTAGTGTATACCACTAAACTATGCTGTTCAGTTAGTTTGCCATTCACCTCTCGTTTGGGAAATGGAGCAACATGTGCAAAAACATGTTCTAGAAACCAGCACATTGTACCTGCCCTGGGTAAATAAACATTTTGCAATTGCCCGATACTAAAACTGGTTGTCCTGTGCATTTGGTAAGTGGATTTTTACTCCCCTGAAGAGTAAGATGCATATTTGTAAAACTGAATGCTTAGGAGCCGAACAATTAGCCTGAAGATTCCGGTGATAAGGATGTAAACTTACCATGTAATCTACACATAGTTTCCTGACAACAGTGTGCATCTCTTGGTCCCCATATACCTGGTCAGCTGAAAAAGAAACATAACTTGTGTAAGTTGTTAGTTTAAAAGGAGAGACCACTATGTATTAAATAAATAATAAATAAATTGCATGATAATTCATATGTACATGATGACAAATTGTAAGTAGCAAACAATTGAATATTATGTATATTGATTGATTTTGATACTATTAATATATTTTATCATCCGTTGTAGTATTCAATTCCATTATTGTTGTGTTTTGATGTACCACCACACATATAAACATTCGAGCATAACAATTATCAAAGAACAGAACATGGTAAGTTCAATTTTCTGCATGTGCACCATTTAAACAAACAACTTTTGGGCCAGTGATTTTTTTGCTTAGTTGAACTGCCGAATACAGGCTGTATCTCCAAGCTAAAAAGAGCCTTATTTCCCCAAAATGACCAAAAACTTGGGAATATTCCCAATTTCAGTACAAATAATGCTATATTTTCCAAATTTATAAAGGAACAGGCTGAACATTGTAAAATTTACGTAACAAAAACACTGTGGGCAAAAGTGAAACATTAATTATAGTAATGTACATCTGAGGCCATTGGTTCGTGTATGTCATGTGTTGATGTAATAACGTTCAATATTCTTCACCAGTTCAGACTGAATATTACATATTCACAATATGAAGATATACTTTGAAATTATATGAAACTGCCATGCAAGGCTGTTACCTTTCCTTTAAAACTGTAACACCTGAAACACTTATAACAGCGAAGTCCCCTTTTCGAAGATGCCAGCATGGCTATTTAGTGACAAAATAAATTAGTTATGAAATGTGTATATCAATCTGGTTTGTGAAAAACATATGTAAACCCAGCTTGAATTTGCCCCACTGGATCCCTTCATAAACCAAATTAATATACAACAAATTCCTTCTATTTATTAATACTTCCACATAATAATAATTAACATACATATAATATTTAAACACAGGAAAGTTTGTGTCATAACAAATCCACATTTATACATACCAACTGCCCTGAACAGACAGGCTCCATCCTCAGCCATTTTCTTTATGACCCATCCCTTTTTATCTTTCATTGTTGCATCAAAAAATCTTTCCAGCTTGAACAAATGAAAAATACAGTAAGTTATAAGTATGGTCATGCTGTGGTAATAGTTATGACAAGTTACGATTGATTTGGTATTCACTTGCCATACACAGTTTATACATTTTTCGATTAGTTTTTCAAAGGTTTATATACTAGGAGAGTGATCTTGACTTAAACAGTGCTTCCTTGAAGATGCCAAAGAAGTTCAGGATTGACACACAAACTTAGAGTAGGTCCTACAGAAACAAACATTTTCTATTTGGCACATCTACATTTTGTTTTGTTGGGTTCTTTCCGTTTGGACTTTTATTGGTCAAATCCTATTAAGAACACCAATAGAAATCTTTTAGTATGGGACTCGGGACTCGCATCAATGTAGATCTACCACTGCAATGCACACAGTATTAAGATGGATTGAAATCAAAACAATGGACAAAAGACAAAAGAATATGTATGTAGAAGTGAAAAAATCCTTATGACCTTCAATTTAGTAAGACACATTCTGCATCTTTACCTTATATCAAATGATCTAAAGAATGCATTACCGAAACATCCTATCCAAATAGAAGAACATATTTGTACCAAAAGTCAGTACGCTTTGGAGGGATGTAAACCCAGACCTTCCTTCTCTTCGCATCTTATGATGGAGCCTTTGACTGAATTTATAATACATGCGGTAGAGTCAGGTTGAGATGCAAGTCTGGCGGAATTGCTCATAATTATAATAAGTCTGTCATGAATTCAGAGCCACCTTTGAGATAGGTTTGTATGAAAGTCCAGATATTTTAAAAATAAACTGATACAGTTGTAAAAGATGTGCATTGATTACTGTAGGTTGCCCAACAAGCGTCAGCTGTAGGGAATTTCCCGTTAGCTAGAGCATCTGACTGGAGAGCCATGGATCGCGGGTTCGAGCCCCAGCAAGGGCACTATCTTTATCACTATTCCTCGTCCTATTACAAATTTGTGCTGTTGACCCTCCCCGTTCAAGGTAGGAGCTAGAACCCTTGGCAAGGAGTCAAAGAACCTTGGTTGGTGTTAGAAAAAGAGGGGAATACTGTAAAAGATGTGCATTGATTTGTTGCCTTACAAGCGTCAGCTGTAGGGAATTTCGCTTTTAGCTCGGCAGTAGAGCATCAGACAGCCAATCTCAATGACTCAATCATACTGGACTGGGTCGATCATTGGCGACAATGTAGCTCAATAGGTAGAGCCTCTGTCTACAGTACAGAGGGTCTCAGGTGTCTAACCCCCGTCTGCCTGTTACAATATTGGCAAACTTGCAAACCCTTGTGTGAAGCACTGGGTAAATGCTAAGTAAGGGGATCACGGAACCTGAATTGTAAATAGTGTTGTCGTTGGAGTAGAAGACTTAGAAAAAGGAGAGAGGAATATGTAGCAGAACTGGACAGGGTTGATTGTCAGAGACCAGGTAGCTAAATAGGTAAAGTGTCCATCTAGAGATTGGTCTAGCCATTGCATTTCTCTCTCTCCTGTTATTCAATGACATTTCTGAAAACTTGATATTGTGACCATCAACGTAAACACAAGACTATTTATTCTTGTTTTGCTCATACAAATGTGTTATTTCCTTGGTATAATTCAAAAATAATTAAAAGCCCTAACGTTTTTTGTGATATATCCATTAAACAAATGCAAATCTGTTGGTAGAATTTAAAGTGAGCATCACCAGAATGCATCATACCACCATCACCCACAACGACACCAGAACAATTATTAAGGGTCCAAGGTGCGACAGAAATATGAGACCTTAAGCATCAGAATCATTTAATCTTGAAATGAGATCCTTTTGTGCAAGTTAGTTACTTAGTATCCTCGACAGATTACATTACGTAACCTAAAATGGTATTGGAATGTGCGAGAACCTATGTATAATGATCAACCCAATGGGATGGAATGTATGCCCACCTCTTCTATGTTATCAGTGGGGTACGAGGGAGGATTGTACTCGTCCTCACTGTTGTAACCCTCCTCATCGTACTCCTGGGACGGGCTTGCACCTCCTCCCTGACCGTGACCCCGATGTTTCCGGACGTTTCGATGGGGCGAAGACCTGTGTCGTCGCTTATTATGACTAGGGGCAGGCTCATGTCCTTCGTATGAACAACCTGCCTCTAGTGTGGAGGTATTATCGTCTCTAGATGTTGAAGGAAGCCATCTTGTGGGAGAGTTTCGAGTCCGATTTACTTTATCGTGTCGACTTTCTGGGGTAGATGGATGATGTCCTTTAGAATGGTCTGATGGTTCTTCATTCTTGTCTTTAGTTGTTTTCTTTTTCGGTAAAATCGTCATTTTATGATAAAAACTCTACACAACTTTCTTGAACACCAGCTTTTTCTCAGCTGTAATGTGTTGGAATGGAGTTTTCTGTGGAAATAATTTCCTTACTATGTTCTTTCCATCGTCAAATTACAAAAATATGGCGTCTGGCTAACAAGTTTGATCAAATTTGGTTTCGGCAGCTTCGCTCTGTTTATTAACCGCGGCATTCGCTACGTCACATCCATCAGGTTATCCGACGTCACGACAAGCTTTATTTTGATCGTGCAGTACTAACCTCGTTACCTCTTCCTCTTCAAAGCACAAACAAATTGCGCGAGGGAACGATAACAGTTGCTTAGTCTTGTTGTAGTTCGAATAATTAATTGTAGTATTTTTTTAATTTTTTTTATTCATTTTTTTTTTACATTAATAGCCAATATATATACATGACATATAACAAACATATAGACACACATATTCATACAATATCATTCCATTATCGTTTCATTACAATTATCATAAAGGAAAGATAGGAGTTTTACGTACAGTTTGAATTTCTCTGTGAGCTGTCAGTGCATGTGCTATATTTTACATTTAGATTACTCATTCTAACAAGAATATTTATGAACAGATAAATTACTTATGGTAAATTGCTCCAAATTTCATGTTTAGTTGTTTTTAGAAGCGTTTTGCCATTTGGTCCAATCTTTTTGAAATTAATTATAAGGTTGCTATTAATCTCTGGCCTATCTTCGACTTCTAGCAATATATTTTTGGGTAGCATATGTATCTCTTTATTTATTTTAAGAACAATAATGCAAAGTTCATTCTTGAGGTACCTTGATGTATAGATATATGGGGTGTTTTTTTTGTAGAGATGATCACATTATCCAATTTTCTGTTAATTGCATTCTGAAGATTTTTGTTAATAAATTCAAACGAAATGAATGATGAATTTAACGTTTTTTTAGTAACCTTTGGTATTTCTCACAGTTCCATAGCGTATGCTCTATCGTTTCAATGTATGTTTACTAATATTACCGTAAGGACTGTCTGTTACCAAACTTGAAATAAGAGTTTGTTGTTAGAATATGTATGATGATTAACCCGGAATTGAAGCCATTACAATTTTGTGTTATTTTGTTACAGAGAAAGGGAGCATGAAAATCATCTTCCAATCACTTTCATCAAATTCAAATTGTTCATTTGGCATTTCAGTAAAATGATTTTGATTTCGTGGTGGGTTTTATTATTATAACTATTCGGTGTCTTAAATTTGAAACAATGATAGTGACTGATGATTGGAGGAATCTATCAATCTACCCAGGACATTTTTGGTTTAACAGTAGGTATATTCTCTTCCGAAAAAATAAGAAGCTTCCAAAGGTTGTTACATCCACATAATACAGTATACAAATAGATGCTGAATAGATTCACGTAGTCGCTATCCGATAACTTTGCTACTCTAACCTGTTGCACGTTGCCAAAAGTACATCTCTGTGTTTCTCGTTGAGTTTTCATGAAACCAATTATTGCGTTTATGTTTCATATAGGTCATTCTGATAAAGAATTATCTGGGGTTTTTTAAATGACAATTTATTAATTTGTTCATAGAGCGATCTACATGCAAGGTGTGGATACTTATTCTAGGAGACCTTGAATTCCACTGCCTTACTTCAAAATGGATTTTATCTGAAAACTTGTCATGCCTCAAAAACAATGTGTCAACATAACTGTATGAAAATATTTTGAGATAATCGGTCAGAAAACTTATATATTTCAGTGTGCGAAATTTTGATTCAGAGGCGCCATACTTAGCCAAAGGAATATTCAATGAAAAAATGGTGAAAATGGATGAAATATAGAATAAATCCATTCAAAGTGCGGATATATTTGGCACAGTGCTGTAGTGATCATATCAACGATAGTCAGACTTTATATGATAGACAAGAGGAGAAGATCAGAGATGTATATACTACTTCTCTGAGAAGATGTACCATTATGACTCAAACATTAACTTCCAAAATGCTCATTTATATTCGGAGGCTTTGGATAAAGAAACTCTGGTTTAATTATTTGCTTGTAGAGTTTAGACGACCATTGGCTCTTTATCGCAAAATCAGGAGATTTGAAAAAAATAACGATCCTTTTTAGTTGATCTGGCCCGAAGGCTTTTGAGATGGCGCGGCGTCCGTAGTACGTCCGTCTGGCGGCAATTTTTAACAATGAATATCTTTTTGTTTAAAAACAGATAGGCGTAGGGTAATAAAATTTGGTAAATAGCGTTTTGGGATAAAAAGCTACCTAATTGTTCAAATGAATGACATTGACCCACTTTCAATTTCAAAAGGTCACAAAAAAATCTTTGACTAACCAATACTACAACCCTAGCGTAACATGGCGCACTATATAGCGGTTACGACTGCAATGTTAGAGTAATACGTTACACAACTCAATGGCACGAGAATTTGTTTAATTTTAGCTATTTTTGGAGCTAAAATGATGTGTTTGACGTGATTTTAGACTTATAAGAGCTATTACTATTACCCTAAATACATACCAGTTTAGGGCTAAACATGGCTGAACTGTAACAGGTTCTCTGATCCCTGTGGTTGACACAAGATATTTCGACCACAGGGACCTGAGGATTTGTTACACTGACCCCCCCCCCCCCCCCCCCCCCCCATGATCATATATACGAGAGAGAGAGTGGAAAGCTATGATCATTGGGAGTGTCATTTTTTACCGAAAGTCGATCTAAACCCATAAAACACGTAAAATTACTGTGAACACTTTAGTCTAGGTTCAAATGTAGCTGTAACAAATTATCAGGTCCCTGTGGTTACGAGCAACAATTTGGTTCAAGTTAGAATTAGAAATGACACATCCATCGGCACTATCGTAAGAGGTGACTAATTAATATGGCATCGCCTGCAGAATCGGCGGTTCATGAGAGACCAAAATTGACCTGCGGTCGCTTTTAAAATACTGAAGACCTCCACTTAAAATGTCTTTTTTACACAATCTGTCCGTACTCGTTCTTTCCGGCGGTGTCTCCCGTGCTCGGATTAAGTTGACCAGGCTAGGGTGTCATGCTGCCGGGTCCTGGTGATGATTGATCCCCAAATGTCCATTAAATTGCACCATCAGCCCAGGACACCAGTCTTACTTTGCAATAGCTGTTGTGGGTTAACCCGACACTGAGACTGGGTTGAATATATTGAATCCACTCATCGATCTTGTTATAATAACAAAAAGGTTTCCCGAAATTTTTGAAAATTACAAGAATTAATTCCGGTAGCAGCAACATTTTCATAGACGCTCTTCGGAGAAAACAAACTGTTTAATTATGCGGTTATGTGGTCATTTAAAATCGACATGACATAGAATCTGCGGTATTTCCTCAACGTAACTGGTGAAAGGAAGGAGCACGAAAATTCTCAAGGAGCAACTTTCTATGGAATGTTTAAACATGTCTTCTCGCTAATTTTCGGTACTTTAAAGCATTGACCCGTAATTCCCATGGAATGCACTAAACATTGATATTTAACATACAGCTAGTATATTATTATGAAAAAAATACCTCGTCGCATTTTGATGCGGTTCAAAATTCCATCCCGATAAGCTGTGAACTAACAACCGGTACATAGTTTCTTTGTGTGGTATAGAACAGGTAAGGTGCGAGAAAAATGTAACTTCAAACTAAAGGTTCACGGGATTTACCTTGCCACGACATACAATGTATCCAGTCAATTCGTACACCAACTACCATATTGGTTACCTCTCTGTTTAACTGAAAATGGCGCATAGATAGCAATTTAATCAATGGAAAGTTAAAAACTTTGATACTGGAAATAATTATGCGATCAAAAATAACGACGTCTGCTCGGCTATTAAGTTGCATAATAAACCTTCATGTGTCCATCACTAGTGTTCTTAATGGTCTTTGATCATCCAAGGTACAAACTAACACGTAAACGAAACATTGTGTCCAGATATTATTACGTCAGACTTCAATTTAAACTGCCCCACCTGTGTTTTGAAACGAAGTTTGCCACTAGAACTGGGTTGGGGAAATATAATCAACACACGACAATTACATCAGCAAAACGATGTAACCAGATTCGTAGACTGATATAGAGCTACAGATTTCAGAGACACCATTTAACGAGGAATGCAATAAGCTTGCCCTATAATATGTTATGACTTGATAATCAGTTTCTTATTCTTCTTAATTTCTTGACAACAAAGACTAATGACTTTGGCATGTTGGCTTCCTTGACAAGAAAGACTCTAGTAATGAATTATGTATGTTGTTACCTTGACAAGAAAGACTCTAGTAATAAATTCTGTATGTTGTTACCTTGACAAGAAAGACTAATGAATTCTGTATGTTGTTACCTTGACAAGAAAGACTAATGAATTCTGTATGTTGGCTTCTTTGACAAGAAAGACTAATGTCATCTGTATGCTGTCCTCCTTGAAAAGAAAGACTAATGACATCTGTATGTTGGCTGCCTTGACAAGAAAGACTAATGTCATATGTATGTTGTCCTCCTTGAAAAGAAAGACTACTGTCATCTGTATGTTGTCCTCCTTGAAAAGAAAGACTAATGCCATCTGTATGTTGCCCTCCTTGAAAAGAAAGACTAATGTCATCTGTATGTTGTCCTCCTTGACAAGAAAGACTAATGACATCGGTACCCCCGCTTCCTTGACAAGAAAGACTAATGAATTCTGTATGTTGTGACCTTGAGAAGAAAGACTAATGAATTCTGTATGTTGTTACCTTGACAAGAAAGACTAATGAATTCTGTATGTTGTTACCTTGACAAGAAAGCCTAATGAATTCTGTATGTTGGCTTGTTTGACAAGAAAGACTAATGTCATATGTATGTTGTCCTCCTTGAAAAGAAAGACTTATGACATCTGTATGTTGGCTTCCTTGACAAGAAAGACTAATGACATCTGTATGTTGGCTTCCTTTGAAAAGAAAGACTAATATCATCTGTATGTTGACCTTGTCGACAACAAAGACTAGTGACATCTTTTATTGACCTCATTGAAAACATAGACTAATGACTTCGACCTCCTTGACAACAAATACTAGTGGCATGTTTGTTGTTTCCTTGACAACAAAGACCAGTGACTTCAGTATACAGCTTCCTTGGCAACAAAGGCTAATGACTTCAGTATTTAGTTTCCTTGAAAACA